GGCCACGCCCATTTTTTTCTATAGAAAAAAACTTTTTTGACCAAAAGGACCAAAAGTACATTTTAAATGCTAATGATGGGCAATTTTGTTTTGATTTTAAGAATCAAATTCTAATGAACTAGGTTAACGAAATAATGAAAAATTTTAAGCGACTTTTCAGTAAGTTTCAATTAAAACTCAACAAATAGAAAACAATCATTATTCGCTTCTCGGCCAAAAAGACTTCCATCTATGCATCAAGTTGTTTAGATTTCATTGGATTTCGCGTTGAAAAGGTTGGGAACGTAGAAAAACAAGTAACAAAAATCTCTCCAAATTGACATATGCAACTGAGGAGTTTTTTAAATCAAAGTGTTTCATGAATTTGAGAAAGAAAGTTATTCGCCAATTGTTTATTCTCGTCTGCTTTGACTTTTGTACTCCCAGATAGACTAATAACAAATTACAACGAATTCAAAATGTAATACCTAGATTTGTCTTTAAGGCCAGGGGGGACTCTCATATTAGTGTTCTACTCAAAGAGTTACATTGGTTACCCGTTAAACAAAAGATACAGTGTAATGTCTCGTTTTTCATGTTAGAATTCAGGAAAAAAATGCCCCATAATATATTATATCAAATTATTTTTTGTCTAAACCGTTGCAAAGATTAACAAGACTGCTCTTATCAGTGCGAGGCCCTGAATGTTCCGACTGTCTCTTAAGGTCTATGGAGCAGTAATAACATGAAAAATATAATTGTAAAAAAAATGATTTTTTTTTATTTGAATTTTTTGTGAAATTCATCAACCCACACGCCATATAAAGTACAAAAGGATAGATTTTGCTCCTAGTAACAAACCAATTGTGGCAAAAAAAGCTTCCTTCAACCAATTTGGAACGATTTATAAGACGGATTAACTCTCCGCTTACGCTTTAATAGCGCGAAATATATCGCGCGTTAATGGTCCCCAATTGGCCAAAATGACAATCTTTAAAACCCCATTACAAAAAATGATCACAGGTAAATAACTTTTCCAATTAAAGCTCAGGTTAACAATTCCTTTTGAATGATATAAAAAATCCCGTCGAAAATGGCTAGTTAAAAAGGCGATATTTGTGTGAAGAAAAAAACCGACCCCGAGCACAAATATTCCGTTACTTTCATTATGAAAGTCGGAACGAAAAAGACTAAATAGGAAGTAACTTTCTGGTGCTCTAAACTACCCATGAGATCTTTTTTTTCTAGTGGAGTAGTTACATGGAACGCTCTGCCTATCTTTGTGTGCGATTTGAACAGCCACGAGAATTTTAAACGATCTCTTATGATACTTATTCTGCCAAGCATTTTGATCTTTGATCATCATCATCATCATCATCATCATCATCATCATCATCATCATCATCATCATCATCATCATCATCATCATCATCATCATCATCATCATCATCATCATCATCATCATCATCATCATCATCATCATCATCATCATCATCATCATCATCATCATCATCATCATCATCATCATCATCATCATCATCATCATGCTCGAACATTGGTGGGGATGGATGATGATTGAAAGTGAGGGGTGGCCTAAGTGTTAATTCCAGTGGTTGAACTCCACCGCTTTTACCACCCATGTTTCACCTGTTTACAACCCCCCCCCCCCCCAATTTACCCCCTCGCCTCTAGCTCATCCCCTTCCACCCACCTAGATTGACCCAGGTTGACAAAAAAGTCCATGGGTGCTCGGTGCGAGAGCATGCAAATGCAATGCCACATCAGAAATGTGAAAACCATTTTTATTTGTGTGTTTGTTTGAAATGCATAAGGAAGTTATTTTCAAAATTAACTACGTGTCTAGGAGACATTCTACGGTTGATCACTCACAGGGGGAGGGGGGAAGTTGGTATCATTTGCACGGTTGGTTTGTTATCTGTAAGACATGCATTATGGTTTGCGCATAAATTATTCAAAGGTTCAAAGAAAAGTTGAAACGGCTCAATTTCAATTTCTGGGACATGTATGGCTCAAAAATTGCCGAATAACTTTGCATGAAAGTTTGTAACCATTTCTTCTCTTTGTTTTGTGCAGAACAGTATATGGCACTTATGAACTCGAGTGAGATTGTAAAACGCCAACATGTGCCAGCGATGGGTGTTCCAAAGGAAGAGGGTGAGTGGTGCGTAACGAGGAGTAAGAGACCCAGCCATCAACATCAACACGTTACAGCAAAGTACCCCCTATTCATTTCAGGTAGAGCAAAAGACTCAAACAAGACATGAAAAGTGTGATACCCAACAGAGATCAATACCCGCAGAGCAGAAAAACTCTTGTTCCCTGACAGCCGAAATCAACATTTTTTTAATGAAAAAAATTGGTACACTCATGCCAAAGCGAAGCGCTAATATGTCGCTATCCTTAATTGTAATGCCGTGTGCTCGATGAAGTTTTTGGTTTTGTTGTAATCGACTCCGGTAACAACACTTTTTCTCGGCTTGTGATACACGGCTCTTTTCTAGTTCTACCTTTGATTTTCTAAAATTATACCTACTGAAGAAGTTCGAAAGCTACTTCTGATGTTCCAAAGTACAACCAAATGTGTCAACTCGAGCAAAAGTGTAAAATGTTTCTACCTTTTAAAAGTTTGGATCAACTTAACAATCTCCTCCCTATAGTATCTACTAAAGAATCTCCACCCCTGTAAATAAAGACAGTTAATTCGCACTAAAGTTTTGTATGCAAATTCGAATTTTGCTGCATTCTGATTGGTCGAAAATTCGCTGCAATTAATCTCATTGGAGCAAACATTGGAGCAAACGATAGAAGGGGGGGGCAAACGTTAGGGGGGGGGGCAAACGTTAGGGGGAGAGCTTAACAGGTACGAAGGGGAGGTGTGGTTCAGATGAGGTGCGGGGGGAGGTTGGGGGTGGGGAGCGGAGCAAAGGGGCAATCGTTAGGGGGAGAGCTTAACAGAATCTTTTTGCAAATTGAGTTTAGGTTTAGAAATGGATTAGGCCGTACACTCGCTTTGCAAAGTTTCCGCATTACTCATTTGATAAATGCAGAAATTCTTGCAAAAGTTACGACGCGAAACAAAAATAAAGGGGCAAAAAAAATCCATTTAAATGTGATTTTCTACTTTATGTATAATCAATTATAATGAATTTCAAATGAATTACAAGACTGCTCGTATCAGGGCGAAGCCCTGAATTTCCCGACTGCCTATTAAGGTTTATGGAGCAGTAATAACATTAAAAAATAAAACAAAATGAAAATTTTTTTTTCTTCAAATATTTGAAATTTTTTATGAAAATCATCCCCCCACACGCCATATAAAGTACAAAAGGATAGATTTCGCTACTTGTAACAAGTAAATTATGGCAAATAAGCTTCGTTAAACCAATTTGGAACAATTTTTAAGACGGATTAACTCTCCGCTTACGCGTTAATAGCAAGAAATATATCGCGCGTTAATTGTCCCAAATTGGCCAAAATGACAATCTTTAAACCCCCATAACCCTACGAAAAATGATCACAGATGAAATATCTTTTCAAATTTGAGCTCAGGACAACAATACTTTTCGAATGATATAAAAAAAACTCGTTAGTTTGCTAGTTTTGCTAGTTTAGAAGTCGAAATTTGTCTGAAGAAAAAAACCCCACCCCGAGCACAAATATTCCGTTATTTTTGTTCGAAAGTCGGAACAATAATGCATTTTGTTTTTGCGAGAAAAATGAATTTTAATTTTAAAATGTCCATTTTTGTTGTCTGAGCGTAACATGGGAATCTAATATGCTTACAACATTTTAGATCACAAAAATCCATTATAATCGATTTGTTTTCACTTTTCTTAAATGCGGGTAAACTTGACTATTGTTTTTCAAAATAAACACTCTATTGATAAAAATTTATCATTTTTAGGTGCTTGTAATGTTTAAATTTTGGCTTGGAGTCCCTTCGGCTTGAAGTCCTGTCGGCTTGTTGTCCTAGACCCTATCAAAACACTTGAGTTGCTCATTAGACTGGCTTGCAGCGAGCTACCTTAACAAACTGTTTTGAAAAATGTTTTCAGTTCAAAGCTAAAATGATGAGAAAACATAATTTAAAAGTTTATTGTTCCGATTTTCGATACGAAAGTAACGGAATATTTGTGCTCGGGGCTGGTTTTTTTTTCTTCAGATAAATTTCGACTTTTAACTAGACATTTTTGACGGAAGTTTTTTATATCATTCGAAAGGTATTGTTGCCCTGAGCTTAAACTTGAAAAGATATTTCACCTGTGATTGTTTTTCGTAAAGTTATGGGGGTCTAAATATTGCCATTTTGGCCAATTTGGGACAATTAACGCGCGATATATATCGAGCTATTAACGCGTAAGCGAGATTTAATCCGTCTTAGAAATCGTTCCAAATTGGTTCAAGGAAGCTTAAATGCCTTAATTGATTTGTTATTAGGAGAAAAATCTATCACTTAGTACTTATTATGACGTGTGGGGGGATGATTTTTTAAAAAAAAAAATCAAGTTTTAGAAAAAAAAAATTCATTTTTTTAAATTACATTTAATTTTTTCATGTTATTACTGCTCCATAAAACTTAAAAAGCAGTCGGAACATTCAGGGCTTCGCCCTGATACGAGCAGACTTGTTATCTTTTAAATATACTTTACTGGTTTTTCAATGATCCTATACTACTGAGACCGCTGATTCCTGCTATTATCACATATAAGCCTTTATAGAAAACGCATAACAGGAAATGTTTGACGAAATTGCACAACAAGAAATGTTTGACAAAACCGGCGTTTGATATATACTTTTGGTAGCTTTAGTTTTCTGGCTTTTATGGGCTTGATCTGATAAATAGCCTGTTTTTTTTAGGAAGAGATGAGCTCCCTTCTCAACATCCACATTCTCTACACAACCAACAAGAGGAAGAAATAGAACTAGACCCAAACCTAAAAGAAAAAATTGATTATGGTCCTGATTTTCATAATATTCCCGAAAACATAGATGAATTGATAATGGCACAAGTATTGGGTCCGAATTGGAAACAGGCCATTGAAAGCCATACAGAGGCGAACGAGAAAGATGAAAGGTATCAACGCATGCTTGAAGAAAATATTGGTACAGATCAGGTTGTTTTAAATGATCATGACGAATTTGTGGTACTTAAGGGCCGGCCATACCAGCCACCTCCAAGTTACCGACCGACTACTCGCAAGGAATTGCTGCGACTCTTGGATGAGTCATTTTTCGAATGGAAGATAAAGAAAAGAGGGGGAATGCCAAAGAGGAATATGAATTCACCTAGTTTTCCGCTGAGTAGAACAGATGTCTACGAAGAAGAATATGAAATCGACCATGTTAAAAAGAGACAGCTTCATAAATGGATCTTGCAGTCCGAGAACAGAGATTACCACCGACATTTGCAACGAGTCCGCAATAGGGCTGCCGGGGTTTCCAAAAGAAAGGCGCCGCGAAATGCTAAACTAGGGAAAGCTAGGTCGCATTGGGATGATACTCACTGGTCTCATTCCGCCGGCGGTCGAGAGGAGCTTTCGAGTCCTGAGAGAGAATTCGATACTCTCTCTATTTACAACAATTCCACATTCGATAATAAAGAGCATCAGAGGAATTTTGAGCTCTCTGCAAAAGAAGTGAATAGTCTGTTTTGGTTAAAAAACTTCCGCACCAGAGAAAATTATTTGAGACATTGCGCTGTAAGTGCCATTTTTGGGCTTTCCCTGAAAATGTTGACCAATATTCAACTTTTTTTTCGCAAATTGCTTCTAGATACTCAATTTAGCTGCTCGTTTTTAATATTGCTCTTCAAAGTTTTTCTAAACTTCCAAAAATGGTTTACGTTTTTGACTCCTCGGAGAATGTTCTTTGTTTTTCATTTGATTTTTACGGACCTCAGAAGAAAAGAGACTTTTTAAAGCACCAAAAATGTTTTTTTTTCTACAAATCTGGAAGAGAAAGATAACTTTTTTTAACGCTCACAGGAGTCAAAATTAACGCTGGGAGCTCAAAATGTACATAGCATGTGGCCATCAACACTCACTGCTAATCAGCTCTCACAAAGCTCAGCTGGGCCCTCGTCCAACCCAATTCATTTTAGTAGACCTCCGTTTTCTCCAATCATTTCATCAAAAGCTCCTCCCACGAACTCTTCTTTAGGTCCTATGGACACTTCTGATCGTTCTGACTGCAGAGTGGATCAAAGCTTTCAGCAGCAGTCACAGGCTATACAAAACTTTAATTATATGTTTCAACCGGAAACACAGAACGCCATCCCTACTCTAGAATGCCAAATGGGAGAACCTTACAGGTTTGATCAGTTACCACTAAAACGTTTTAGTTCTTAAGACTATTTATCCTACCAAGGAAAGGACTATAACATACGAGCTGCGCAGCTCATCACGGGAAGCCGCTGTTCTGCTCCTGCATAAGAAATACTTTTTTTGGTTATTTTTCTGGCTAATGTTGCCTCGCTCTCAAGCAATGACCATGGCGGGCCTCGGACATCAGACCTTTCGATTGAGAAACGGAGACGTAACCATTTCACTACCGCTCCCCTGGTACCGCGACAACTCGCAACAAAAGACAACTTCGCAAAACTTGAAAATTAATTCTAAATTAGCGATTTCGGTTTAAGGTCGCAATTATCTTAAGGTTGCGATAACCGGCTCCAGAGTTCCGACCCTCTGTTGACAAGCTCGCAACACGTTGGCGCGACTGCGGCGGTGAGTATATTGCGAGTTGTCGTTTAATGCGAATTGTCTTTTGTTGCGATTTGTCTTTTGTTGCGAGTTGTCTTTTGTTGCGAGTTGTCTTTTGTTGCGAGTTATCGCATTACACCGCTCCCCTCACCAACGATAGTTACGTTTTAGTTACCACCAAAAAGTCTACGAGTTCACAAAAAAATACGACCAAAGTTCACAATCTGTCGACTCCAGTACTCAATATTCTCTACCCACTTCTAGGAACAAGTTCTAGTCAACAAAAAATTTATAGGACAATCGGACTCTGTGGCTGATAAAAAGCTTGAGCACTTGGGAATACCTCTGAGCCCCGCATACTCGAAAGGGAGGCATGCACATTATGACCACCGTGATCGGCTCTTTTTATCGTCTCTCCCCTCCCCTTCCACTACCACAAAAAATTATAGCTCTATCATTTCCGACAAATTGATTTCACAAGGTTGAGTATTTTACATAGGTTGAGTACAGGGTCATCTCCTTCGAAGCAAGGCAGCCAACAATATCAGCAGACTCCAGTTTCGGCGTACAGAAAATCTTCTTCTAGAAAATATTCAGAAATGCAATCGCCAATGGAAACACCAGATACAGGATACGGGGCATCTCCAGTTAATGAGACACCATCTTCATTTTCAGGCACACCTGGGCAATCTTGTCTTAATGAATCACAAATGATAGCACAATCAGTGTTGAATTCAACGTATGGGTTACATCGAGGTCCAGATGATTGCACTGAATTGGATCCAGCTGGATACCAAGAAGGGTCGACTAGCAAGAAGAAAAGAAGGAGCAGGAAATATAGAATGAAAAACGCACGGCAGACAGAACAAATTACAGAGAGCGTTGACGAAATGACAATAGATTCAGAGGAAATTACTCCTAATACTGAGGAAATCATGCTGAATACTGATGGAATCACGTTGAGTAGTTTAGAAATCTCGCCGAATATTGAAGAAGTGACCCCAAATGATGAAGAAACTACAGCGAATGAAGAAGAAAGTACTGCTTTTGAAGAAGAAAGTACTGCGATTGAAGAAGAAACTACAGCGAATGAAGAAGAAAGTACTGCGATTGAAGAAGAAACTACAGCGAATGAAGACGAAAGTACTGCGATTGAAGAAGAAACTACAGTGAATGAAGAAGAAAGTACTGCGATTGAAGAAGAAGCTACAGCGAATGATGAAGAAAGTACTGCGATTGAAGAAGAAACTACAGCCAATGAAGAAGAAAGTTCAGCGAATAAAGATGAAAGTACGGCGATTGAAGAAGAAAATATGATGGAGGCAGGTTCCTCCAATACGGAACAATGTCTACCACCTGAAAGAACAACCGCTGCCTCCTCTACTGAACAGCAACTCGTACGCAAGATTTGGCCTCTTCTCCAGCCCGTAAACCCAGATCCCGAAATAGTTAGGAGAAACACTAGAGACGGAAAAAGAACAAGTAAGTATTCGCTAAACGTTTACGCATAATAATTCTAATAACTTTTTTTTTCAAGACACAGATATTCATTTACAAACACTGAATCGATTTTTACAAAAGTAACTTGAGTAACTGCAGTGACAAAAAGCGGATGAAAATCGGTTACCTACAGAAAAATGTACACCCGGGATGAAATGGTCGAAATATGATCAGACCGAAGTCGGTCGAACAGAGAATTTTTCCAGACCAAAAATACAAACCTGACTTCGGTCAGATAGCCAAAGCAGCATACTGAATTTCAGTCTGATAGCCGAACTAGGGTCGAACTAGAGTCGAGTCAGGGTCAAACTAGGGTCGAACCAGGGTCGAACTAGGGTCGAGTAGGGGTCAAACTAGGGTCGAACCAGGGGAGAACTAGAGTCGAATCGGGGTCAAACTAAAGTCGAACAAGAGGAGAACTAGAGTCGAATCGGGGTCAAACTGGAGTCGAACCAGGGTCGAACTAGAGTCGAATCAGGGTCGAACTAGTGTCGAATCAGGGTCGAACTAGTGTCGCATTAGGCTGGAGCTAGAATCGAATCAGTGTCGAACTAAAAAATCAACGTATGTTTAGAAACGATTTATCTAGAAATCATTTTGCGAACAAAAATCGATTCAATCCAATCAAATCTTATCTACTTGTGCAACAAGATTTTTCAATCATAATTGTTTTAAAGTGATTTCAAACTGAAAGAATACAAATTAAAGGCAGTTTCGGTTAGATGAGAGTATCTTTAGCATCAAAAAAAAATTTTTGAAGAAAAAAAAGTTCACAATACAATTTCAATAAGAAAACTGTATGATATGCATTTTCCAATTGAAAAAAAAAATTTAATTATCTTTTTTGATTGCAACTTGTTTCTTTGCTTAATCACATTTTACGAAAAAAAAATAAATTTGCTAACAAAGTTTGATATTTTGTGTCTCTAACATAGTCTTTTCTGAGTTCATCACCAAAAATCACAAGCGAGTGTGTTCTTTTTGAGAACACAAGTGGTATTTCTACTTTTCATGTGCTGAGAGAAACCTAATTTTGAAAAAAAAAACAGGGCTCTTCCTCAACCACCAAAATTTTCAAAGTGAAATATTAGCCCAATAGAAAACGTTTCGTTTTAAATATATAACTCTGAGTGAAAATGATAACAATAACTTGCTTGGCTAATTCCACCAAACGCAGTTTATCTGCGTAGTAAAGGACACTCTCACTTTGGGTTTTCTTATGACAGAAATCTTTTGTTATTGTGTTTTTAGATTACAAAAAACTTAACTTTGAAACAAACATTTCTTGTATTTAAATTTCCAAAAAAATGCCTATAAAATAATTCATTGATAATGGAAAAAATGTTTATCATGCAATTTCATAGTTTAAAGTTTGCGTTTGCTTTTTTTCACACAATTTTCGTGAAAAAATTATGGCAAAAATTTGTTATTTAATTCCAGAGTGTGACAGAAAATGCTTGTTAAAAAACTTATTGGAAAAATGTTTATTTGGTTATTTTCATACAATTTGTTTTGGTCAGTGAAATTGTATGATAAGTACTTTTACCTCGGGTATTCATAAGTTTTGACAATATTGTCCAATTGACCCAATTTTTAAACTTACTTCCTGAAACTGCGCTAACGGCTATCATGCGACCGCGTGCCAACGTTTTTCACTAACTGGCCTGATGATGGTCGAAATATTGGAACCTTTTAGATATATTGAGGTAGCAACCAGATCATACCCTGCTGGAAGTCATTTGGTACCATCTCTAATCTCTCGCAATTCCATTTTTTCAGACTATCGCGCCTGATGTTGTGTTTTTCCAGATAGTCGCGACAGACACTTACAGTCGCTACTTAGCTCCAAACTACCGACAGCTACTTTTTCCAAAACAATCTCTTTCGGTATTGATTTAGGGCAACAACTTGGCCTGCTATTATTTGTTTAATCATCACGCTGCGTTGTATGATGTTTAAGAGTCGTCTCAACTATTTAATTTCATCAAAAATTGATAAACAAAAGAGACTTTTTAGTTGATTCGTTACACCCTAGCTCACAATTTTTATATTTGAACAAAATTACGACAGTAATGAGTAATTTCAACATTGTTCCAAGACATTGCGAGAGAATATTTTTTGCGGTTTTATAGCTGGACATTTGTTTGAAGAGGTTCTTCAAAGTTTTTAATTCCAGATAAGTCTCGTGTGGTGCTTTTTGACCAGTTTAACCGAAATATAAAAGCCCAACTGGGATTAAGGGTTGGAGTTGCTGAGATTTGATCTGAGGTTTCATTTAAAAAAGAGATATTGATTGCTAAAAAATTATATCGAGAATTTTGGGGAGATGGAGGGTTTTTAGGTTACAAAAACCGTCAAATCAATGAAAGCCTCCTTTTGCTAATAAAAAAGTTGCACCGCTGAAAAAATGTGAAAAAAGGCCAAAAACGTTGTTCAGTTTTCGCCAAAACATTCGATAGGCGTTTTCAATATTTTTGATATGCAGCAACCTTGGCTAAAGATAGGCTCACTAGTAAAAGATGCTGCTCGCAGTGGAACTTTTTCGCGCGTTAAAAAACAGTACTTTTCTGTCACTACTTTTCTGGAACCAGAGTTTCTGTCGGTATTACCCGAGTTCAAATTAATATTTCGTCAATACAAGTTTCCACTAATTTGCAATGGCAAGCATAAATTACTACTACTAAATTACATCTCTGGTTGCAATAGGACTGTATTTTGATTATTTTTGTTTCCAAACTCGGAGAAAGTGAATTTATGTTTTAGCTTGAGTGATCATATGGTATCATATTGTAGGTATATTTGTCGTGATTATGATAAGATTCCATGAAAAATTCAAAACTTTGACTCAAACTGAGCTCCCATACCCTTCATTCCTTCATTTTTGTACCCTACATTCCTGTATTTTCCTAAAATAACACAGTCACCGTTTACTAAATAAATTAAAAAGGGAGTTTTGAGACTATATGTAGTTGAAAGAGGAGATTTGGAAATCTTGCTAGACGTTTAGGCCGGAAACTTGAGCTCTGATGAAGCTTCGAATGACCATAATTGTCAAATGACTTGCGCATTTTATTCTATCTTATATTGCCCCGTTGACAGTTTGAAGCTGCTTTGTGCTATCATCCAACCATGTTTGGCTTCCTAACTAACTCCTCGTCAGTTTGGCAACTCAGGGACAAAATGTGGGCTATAAATTTTGTGGTAGTTATGCAACAGCGGCGATGTATTTCTGCTCAAAAATCATAAAACATAGAATTTAGCCATGCTATTTGGTCTTATTGACACGCTAATTGACAGACATTGAATGCATCACTTTGTACTGAAAATTTCTAAAAATTTCTGTTTTTGGAAAACTTTAAAATGGCAAATGTACACAAGACTGTTTATATCAGGGCGACGCCCTGAATGTTCCGACTGCCTCTCAAGCTCCATAGAGATCGCTTTGAAAAAAAAAACAAATTTGATTTTTTTGAGACTTTTTTACTGAAAACCATCCCCCGTAATAAATTTTAAGTACGTAGTGATTAATTCGCATAGAGCAAAGCATTAAATATACCAAATAGGATTCAACAATTTTTTTGAACGATTTCTAATACGGATTAAGTGCCCGCTTACGCGTAAATACCGCACGAAATATATCGCGCGTTAAATGTCCTAAAGTGCCCACATAGGCAATCTTTACTCTCCAATAACCCGGGTTGACCTCCATACACCGAAAATGCTTGTCATTCAATTCCATACAGCAAAAAAATCTTTATCATACAAATATATATACATCAAGTGTATGGAGAAAATGCTTGTCATACAATTTTCATACATTTTCGAAAAACAAAAGAAAAAAAAATCAAACCATTTCTGCGGCTTTTTGAGAACAACTGAACAGACTCGCGGCAAAAAAAAACTAATTTAAATTTTTTTTTGAACAAAAGTTTTACCTTACAATTTACATTACAACTGGCATTCTGAAATTATCCCAAAATTTTTTTTTCAACTGCAAATTGAATTTTGTACGCAAACAAACATTTTCCAAAAATTTTTTTGCATGCAAAAATTAATTTTTTGTGTGCATAACGTAGTCCTGGGTACGATAATATTGGCTTTTTTTTTCTTTTGACTTAATTTTTTGTAAAAGCGGTGAAAAATTTTAATTTCTTTTGTATGGCGTGTTTATGTATGCGTAATTGCATGGCATGTCTATGAAAATTTAAAATAAGCATCATTGAAAAATTTTGCAAAAATTAAAAGTTTCTTAATTTTTCTTATCATAATGTGAAAGACAGCTGGAAGACAATTCAGGTTGTTTTTATGCATTGTAAATGTAAGGCCGTCCATTTTCTAGTGCTTGGAGTAACCAAGGTCCTTGTCACTTGTGTTCGGTTGCAAACACAAACCAAAAGTGTTCAGAAAATAAATTCAGAAACAAAAATCATCTTTTTGGTGTATGAAGAAAACACCTATCATACAATTTCCATATATGGGAAAATGTTTATTGTAGAGATTTCATACAATTTTCTGTACGTATGAATTTGTACTGAATCGTATGAAAAAAATTTCCCAAGGATGAGGATTGTATGATAAGCATTTTTGGTCAACCCGGGATTTTAGAAAAATGGATCTAAGCTGAAAAATCGTAATAAATTTTGGCTCAAGGCAAAAATTATTTTGAAAATTTCTGTCAAAGAGTGCTAACTAAAAAAACTAAAAAAACACCTAGAAAATTTACTCACGTAGGTTATAAAAAGCTACTAAAAACTTTCAATGCACACCGAGCAAATGATTTTTCTCTATTGAATGTTATGATCTCATCCGACCTAACCACGACCAATTTTTAGACGACGATAAGTTCGCTAGCCCTAAGTTAACAGAAAGTTTTTTCATCAAAACACCTTACATCTTTACACTAAGCTCACTAGATAAAAAACACGACCACGTTATTTCCGAAGCACTAATTGACATCCAAGCTTTCAATCTCGACATCCAAG